AGCTTCGTAAATCCTTCACTGGCTACGTGCTCCCTCTGACTGGTCCGGCTGATGCGTACAAAGGAGGAGGTGAGGTGTGAATAACATTGAGCGCTGACTCCCGGGGACACAGCTGCCTCCCTCTGAGCCCGGCCACAAAGGAGACAAACCAGGCACCCTGTTTCCTTGACTCCCTTTAGCTCGTAAGCAACAAAGAAGCAGGATTCCCTCCAGAAAACAGGACACAAAGGTGCTCACGCCCATGATTCATCTACCTCATCTATCCTGCAATGAAAACATGGACTTGTTGAGAAAGTGAACATTACGAGCAGTGAAAGACATGGAAGCAGAGGCACTTTGCTTAACTTTGATCTACTTTTTCAGAGGGAAATATTGAAGATAAATTAAAAAATGTATATATCGGGGCTTTGTTTTGTCTTCTTTCTTCTCCCATTAATCATCTCACGACCCCTACAATTTATCTGGTGACCCTTTGGAAAGGGGCCCGACCCCCAGGTTGGGAATCACAGGGCTCAACTACCAAATACATTTTCACTTTTAGTTATAGTGGAGTATTTTTATATAATTGCTGTATTGGTACTTTTATTTAAGAAAATAATGCAAATACTTCTGCTATGTCTGTTCAGCTCTCTCTGAAAGAATGAATGAATGAATGAATGAATGAATGAAAGAATAAAAGTATATTACTGCCAACCACTTCACAAAGCATAACCATCATGTTTATCTTTTTTGTCTGTTGTCAGCTGTGTACACCCCCTCTCATGTAAGTTAAACATAAAGTCAATTCAATGTCCACTGTGAGTCTCTGTGGTGTGATTTTCATACTGCACTGGAACAAATGGAAACGTCGTGCTGCCAGGAAGGCAGGGAAACAATCTAAATATTTATGGTATGTTTTGGAAAATAGCAATGTCAGAAATGTGGAGTAGGAATGATTTCTAGTTGCTAAAACATGCAAAACCGCTGGTTTATGTTCTGCCACATTATTTCCACTGAGGGTTTGATACCAGAGTTGTATTAGGACAAAGTGTATGACCCTACACAATCTCTACCAGAGGGGTTGAGATGCTGCACGCCCTGTGATTTAGTGCTGATAAAACGTGTGCATTTTTAAATGGAAGTCTTCCCTTGAGCAGCTTGGACTCTCTCTCGTGTGCCTCCTGGCCGTCGTGCAGCTGCCTGGCATTGAGGAGAGCCGTGGTCTGACCACCTGGCAGAGAGCCCAGCCAGACTCAGGAAGTGTCCTTGGGGTGGGGAGGAGGAGGGGGGTCAGATGGTGCAGGCACACCCCCCCTGTCATTCAGCTCCTCACCTCAAAGCATTAGTAATGCATTCCTCCAGTCCAGCAACAAGCAGGGTAATTCAATTTCCTCGACAGTGAGACCGTGTGAAATTTCATTTGCATCTCTGGGCCTGTGTGTAAGACGGGTTTTAAAAACCTCTCAGCCTCCGTCATGCTTTGTTTGTTTACTGCTTTGTTTAGTTCGGCCCCCACAATAAACAGCGGGGAGCACAGGAGATGATTTAATCTCTATATTCATCTTTAGAGACAGAAAATACCTGGAAAAATTTGCAAAATAATGAATATACTGCCCAGTCTGAGTTTGTAGTTTGTACTAAAAAGACTCATTTTGAATAAATAACAAAAGTTCAGTGAAAAATTTTGAGGGCAAATAATGAAAAAAGAATAGCCTGGTCCAAATATGTGAAGATACATACCCTCTGTGGCTTTTATATCCCATCCCAGCCCCCAGTCTTCCACATGAGAAGTCAGTGTTTGGGGCGACAGCAGCTGGCTGGCGGTATGAAGGAAGTTGACAAAACCAGACTGGTGGCCCGGTGCTGACACTGACCTCCCGCCTGCTGTCAACCCAGAGAGGTCAGAAACACAAAACTGCCTTTCTGCTCCGCTCAGACTGGTCCGCATGCAAGCCTGTGGCCTGTCCCTGCACTGCAACACGAGTAAATACCAACACGTGTGGAATCTCTAGGGAGAAATACCACGGTGACTTCCTCCAGAAATCATGCACATTCTGTACAAAAGAACATCAGAGATCAGAGAAAGGTTCATATGTACCTTTTTTAAATCTTTAAAGCTTTTTTATCTTTAAGCTGAAACTCACTATAAAGCTCTGTCAGGCCGAGGGGAGCTGTAGATTCATGCAGCAACTCTCTGTATGTTCTTCACTACGAACAACCTCTTTCACATTGTCACATTGTTTTCATGCTGTCATTTCTACATTGTTACCTTTTATAGCCACTTTAAGACCATTCTTGGTAAACTTCCTGTTAACCTCTCTGCTGTTAAGTCATCTGTTTCATGAACAATATAATGGTTTTAAAAGGTTAACGGTTCTGTCTCTCATGTGGTACCTGTCTTACACTCAGTCTTCCTGCAGGGTTCAAGTTACATTTCTAATACTGGTAGAATTCAATTTCATACCGCTTTTCAAGGTCAAACGGGCAAAAGGCAAAGTATGATATATATCAGTTTCAACCAGTGGGGGTGTAAGGCCTACAACTTATTAACATTAATATCACAATATTTATCAGTACATCCTAGCTGTATATAACAATAATTCCCAATAATATCATTGATCAATCTTTAAACATGACCTGGATAAGCAGCAGAAAAGAATTGGATGACTGGCTGGCTGGAACGACCAATTAAAAGACAAGTAATTGATATAACTGCTTACTGGAAAAAAAATATGTGAAACATTAATAATAAAGCCAAATTCAAATCCTGTGTGCAACAATAAAATATATTTCACATACTTCTGTAAAACCTTAATAGAAATAAATGACCATGTGTTAGAATGGGGCAAAACCTTTCTTGTGTATAATTGTACAATATCACAAATATTGACTATAATAATTTTGTATTGCTTCACTCATAAAGAGCTGTTTTCAGAACAAAAGTATGTTAAAAAAAAAAAAAAAGAAAAACTGACAACTACCTCTGTAGGAAATGGGGCTGACAAGAGTGAAGTTTTGCTGCTACCTAGTGTCCGTTCCTGGTCGGGCTGTGAGGACACATCAGCTTCTCTATAACACACACAAATCCAATGAGCAGATGCACTACAGTTAAGGTTTGTTTAATTTTAAAACACAGCATTCAAGCTCCATATAACCACAGGTTTTACATGTACACATTTTAGAGATTGCAAAAATGATGTACAAAATAAAAAAAACATTAAATCTACAGTGATTTTTTTTTTCCAGAAACAAAAATTGAAATCTATTTATCATATTCACATTAATGAAGCAACACTTTGTGTTTGCTACAAATTCTAAAACGAAATTTAAAAAAAAAAAAAAAAAAAATCTACGAGCAAATCAAATATAAAAATGTTTTAAAATGTGAAATAAGCTTTTTAAGAAATTAAAAATGAAACGTCAATTTCAGAATTTTTTTTTTTTCCTTTTCTTCATTTTGTAAATGTTTATAATCTGTACAATAGCTCGGCATAACAAACAACAAAGAGAATATGACCACTACGAAAAACAGGAAGAAGATTGCATCAGTGTAATAACGTCTTACAGAGCATAAATGTTTTGAAGAAGCCAGGCCGATCGCAGAGGAAGCCAGGAGCTGTCAGCTTTACAAACAGGCCTGAACGTAAAGACATTTAAAAAGATATTCAGATAGTAAAAGAGTTGTGCTTGACTTATTGGCACAGTCTCAAAAAAAAAACAAAAAAAAAGAACCAAAAAACAAAAATCACCTCTTGTACTGGTCACAAAGCACATCGAAGAGAAGCAAGCAGCAGAAGTACAAACATCTCATTCCACATTTGAAGGATGGTCATGCTTCAACAGGAACAATTTCCAGTTTATACAGAGAGCAGAGTTATCACAATCCCTTCACAGCATCCACTCACCCTTATCTACCGCTGTTATAAATGCTAAAACACATTTGTGAGACACTGCATTGCCAATGCATCAGGTATCTCCGGGGAAACTCTCAGAGAAACCGTGATATGCATATATTCCACATGAACGTGCATTAAAATTCCTGTTGGGATAATCAGTGAGTGGCATTTCTGACTCTAAACTGCCGCGTTTGGTCGAGGAGATCGTTGCCGGACAGACTCGAGGATATGAGTGTGTACAATTCCCAGTTCTGTTAAGGGAGACGAAGCTTTACAACTTAGCTGAAACATGAAGAGAATTACAAGCAGTCTGGTGAATTGAGGGCACTGCAAATTATCTTAAAAAGTCTGGAGTAATGTTGCAGGAGACATCACACACTTCTCTGTATTCCAGTGCTTCACCGTCGTCTTCAAAGGTCGGTTAAAAAAAAAAAAAGGTTCTGCTTCCAGTAGTATAAAAACTTCTCTTTCTTCGTCAAATTCTTCTCTTTTTTTTTTCATCATCTTTGTCCTTATCAAATCCTCTGAGAGCATCAAGTTCACAGCTTCACAAGTTACAGTCACTGCTGTGGAAAAGTGGCTCATAATGTATTTAAAAAAATGCCACAGGAAATAAAAGTGTCCCGAGGTGACAGAAAGATTTCAATTTCAGACCGGTACGACGTGCAATACTGCAGGAAAACTGGTCCCAGATGTCAGATTTAAGACAAAATGCAAAAACAAGCAAATGTGCACATGTGATGCACATTATGCCAACATTAACAGGAGAATAACGCAAATATCAGATTTGCATTTTTTAAGTTCCACGAGCAGAAAGAAAACCTGAGCAACTGAGATGCTGCACTGTGAAGTGAATCTATATCACGATGGTTTGATCTATGTTGAACGTGTGATGTGAGAAATTTTATCTACTCCTCAGGTGGGAAAGAAAACAGTTGATTCCTCCTGCATTTATGTGTAAGGCAATGAGAGAGGTTGTGGTACAGTACAGTACAAAAAAAAAAAAACAACAACCAGTAGTAATCAGTGTTAATCTATGAGCACTTCCAGAGTCCTCAACACTGCAATGCCTTGTTAGATGTGACAGCGTACAGCGTCACGGTGCGTTCATGTGTAAAGAAAAAATTTTTTTTTTAAATTGGAGTGTAAGAGACAGTCCAGGCTCCATCACATCAGAGTTGCAGATAAACTCCAAGCACCAGCCAAGGATTGTTGAAACTGGAGAAAAAGTATCTGCGTGAGAGTCAAGAGATGGGATTTAATGGATGCCGTCAAGTTTTGCTTCAACCAACCAGCAAAAGCACGTTTTGTTTTCCCATTTTAAGTCGAGTGAGACAGTTACTGGTGGCGGTGGGGGAAGCAGGAGGTGGAGCGACTGAGTGGAAAAAAACGTTTGTGAGGAATGACCGGAGGAGTGATTGAATGTGACTTTAGAGACGTCAGTGCTGCAGACAGGACGAGTCCAGTGTTGTCTAGTGCGCCGGAGGGGTGTTAGGATCTGGTCGGCTGTTGGCCAGATACTTTGCCCGCATGCTGGAGGTGTACTGTGGAAGAGAAACAGAAAGTGACACAAAGAAGAAAACGTAAATCATGGTTTCACTCTTTATAGTTGAAAGTGTGAGCACGTAAAGAGTAAAATCACTCCTGTCTTTCACAACATACAACACAAAATCCATGTAGGATTTGAACTGAAACTGAAAGATAATGTTTTTGAAGCTTTTGAAAAATGTATCTGTTGGAACAGCGAACAGATTCACAGGCTCAGTGCTTTGTTGAGTAAGAAAAAAAAAAACCTTTTGGTAAATAAAACATCAAAAGCTGCAGTTGAATATATACAGATTGCACAATCAGAACAAAGCACCACGATCACAATTCATTCAACAGATCAGAGAAAATCCTACACAGGTTACCTTTCAAACTATGAACTCCACTGCTCTGGAAACTAAAGGGAATTTAAACGATTCAAACACAGAAACAACATCACAGCCACAGCTTAAGAGGACAGAGACATCAGAGCACAAGGAGCTGAATAAATACACACCAATTCTAGTTGAAATGATTTCACGTTTTGCTGTTAACCTTCGTGCACATCCACAGGGCCGGGCATTCATATACATGTAGGATGCACCCATGCAATTTTTTTATATATACAGGCGACACAAGAACAAAAAGGCTGCATTTCAAACTCATGTGGAGACACGATGTTGACTTTTTCAGCTGTGATATATGTTCTCGTGTTGTGATCACCTCTCAGAGCCATTTGGACAAGCTGTGGAGGATGCTGAGAATATGGGCTCAACTGAACATGACTTACCTTGAGCGTTAAAGGACAAGAGGTTTTGATTTACCTGAACAACATGCTAACTCTCAACAGTTTATATTTGTGTAAAGAACAGGGGTTTTGACACTATGAGCCTCCCCTCAGATAAAATCCAGACAACAGAGCCCCCCCCCCCCCCCCCCCCGCCATAATTTTAAATTGATTGTAACAGAGCATATTTTTATTTGTTGCACTATCAATACATTTTTAAACTCCTATTATTATTCTTTGTTTTACTTTTATTTTGACATCATCCTTATCTAAATTTGGAACTACACTTCTAGTAATGCTTTGAGGAATGTAAACAGACAGTATCATGTTGCATTGGAGTCAGTCAGTCAGCTGTGGGCTACAAATTGAGCTCCGTTGTTTTAGCCTATAGTTGTTTACATTTTGGCAAACTGGCACCATTTATCTACACTGGAGTACGCCATCTACCTATTAATGTGCAGATAACTCAGTGGTGTATTTTGACATGAAGCAAACTTAAAAAATGTGATGAAGTTCTTTTTTTCTAAGCAGACTACTGGATGTTTATTCATACACTGAATTTAGAAATATGTGTATAAAGCACCTTACTTGCCTCCATGAGCTGCGTATCACAGCCACTGTTTTTTTTTAAGGTTAATTTTACTGACTCTTGATTTTGAGGGAATAAAACACTCAGCACAACTGGGCTAATCTGAAACAATATTGTTATTGTGCACCATTTCCCCCTTTATAGTAAAAATAAAAAAATAAATAAAAAAAATTCTCCCTATCACACTCAATAACCAAATCCTAAACTATTTTAAAATGCAAGTGCGTCATATTTATGAGTTCATTTTCAAACCCAAGAAACAAGACAAAGCAGCTCCACATGATCATCGAAACGGTTTAACGGCTTCATAATCTGACGATGACTCATCATTGACTCAGATCACAGTGAGCCTCAGGGCAGAGTTACGACCTCACATGTTCCTCCCAGTGCATCTGTGGTGCAGGGGGTGTAGGGGATCATGCAGCCCGGGGCCACAGGAAACAAACATCAGGTGAGACACCAGGTGGGACAAGAGTCAGGACAGAGAGGGTGTGGGGGGAGGGGAGGGGCTCCAGCAGCCCTGGTGGGACCTTAATAGAGGGTAAGTAAAGCTGGGAGTTTGGGAGGTGGTGGTACAGAGGAGGAACAGGCCAGCAGGTGGAAGAGGCGGGCATTTTTTGTACCTGTTAGCATAGCAGACGAGGTTACCAAAACGATCTTGAACTCTCCGAAGGCTTTAACTGCCAGCAGTGACCGCTGTTACTGTCCGCGGCAGTCAAATACAACTGTATGGATTCGCAGAAAAACAACAAAAAACGACAAGAAGAGAGTATAGAGAAGTAACACAGAGCAGCGTCTAGGTCCAAGCAGACACACAGACACCAGGGAGGGCAGGATGTCTGGTAGAGGTTCAGGCCAGGTGGTGGGGGGCGGGAGGGTATAACTGAGGTGGGCTCTTTAATACATACTCTTACATTGTTTTCAACATCTGCAAACTGTGTCAAACTTGTCAAAAAAAGTTCTTGCACATCATCAAGTGTCAGTGACAGTTGTAAAGGATCAGAAACTCTGGAAAAACTACAGAATCCCGCACAGGGTTCATCACTTGAAATCACTTACTGGATGACGTTTCAGTCCTCAGACAAAGTTCATAAAGACAAACAGCAACCAGGAAATCAGAGGATCAATCAGAGGACACTGGAAACACTCTTCAAATACATAAACAGACGTGATACTGAGTTCTTTTATTTTTCTTGGGAGAGAGCCTGTTACCTATATATGTGTGCGTTGTGCTGTTTGTCTATACAAACTTTGCCAGGTTTGATTAAAACATCATCAACATCCGGATGAGTATGAGTGATGCACAAAGTGCAGGTTGACAGAAAAAGACAGAAAACACTGTCATGTAAGAAATTTATTATTTCATTATTCCATCATTATTTTGGTCCTTGTAGGAAAATTCATTTTCATTTTACCTCCTTCTTCCATAAAAAAGGTCAAGTACAGTGTCAGCCGTCGGCGCTGAGAGATTCAAAAATCAAACTATGTTTTTTATTATGATGAAGGATCTCTCTATATATTGGTTACCCAAATGCCAAATTAAAACTTGTGTTCTGTCATACTATCATAGTGGTAAATACAGTTAAAATAACCATGTTGATTCATGTTTATACGTTGATGTGTCTGTGGCTGATGGGTTAATATGGATGCTTTTCTTATGAAGGTGCAGTAATACACAGTACGGGAGCTGGTTCTATGTTGTTAAACGGGGTGTTTCCACCACTGGAACTTTCCCAGAGAACCGAGAACCTTTAGAGGAACTTAGGAACTAAACCTGTGTTTCAACTGGAACAACCAGAATTGAATTCCTGTACGATTGTTCCAAGTCCAAGGGTAGCACTTTCTAGTGGAGCTATTCGGGCTCACTGTTCGCTGTTTGGTCAAACACAGACTCTGTGGCTGCTGCAGCTTCTATATTTCTGGATATTCCTTGATGTTTGCTAATGTTAAAACAAAACTAGGCTTTGCTGTCGACTTCCTGACTCAGAAAAAAGAAAAGAAAAGAAAAGAAAAGAAAAACAATTTGATGATAGTTTAATGGCGGTTGTTATAAAGTAGAAATGACACAACCAAGAAACAACCATCAAACATTCAGTTGATCGTCGACCGTGGAGACAGATGCTCTGCAGTTTTTAAGTCTCCCATCTCCAACAACTGAGTCGCAAAACAATAAAGACAAAGATTTACTTGATGCTGCTGCCGTCTTTTAATTTGCCTAATCTTTTGTTCTTTGGATGCGGTGGAAATGCAAACAGGAAAGTTTTAAGTTTAGTTCCTGAGTTTAGTTCATCTGGTTCCATAGTTCCTGGAATATTTTGTTCATCGAAAAAGGGCAGACAATCAGTCCCTCGCAAAGAGGCTGCCCAATGACCCAGAGGTGCTCCCACAGCGCTCACATTTTTACAGGGAATGCGACACTTACCGAGGGGGGAGGAGACTCTCGTCCGATCAGAGGCGTGTTTTCACAGCGAGAGTTCTGGAAGTTGGCGTTCTGAGCCCTGTTGAATTCAACACAGTGAGATCAAACACAACAAGGACACAAGTACAGTGTAAATCCCTACACATTGCTTTCCAGATGTGAAACAATATACTGTATACATGAAACTCTCCAAGTCAGCTTTCAGCATACCAACACAGAGCCAGAAACTGGGGGACACCCCCCCCCCCCCACTTTCCCTAACAGTGGACTTCACTCATGAGGCAGAAGGCTTTGGGTTTCACAGGCATCACAACTGGAGAGCAACAGCTGCATCTGCTGGCCAGGACTTTCTATAAGAGAACTGAGCTTCTCTCAGGGGACGTATGATCTGACTTGTGAGTACATGAAGTATCCAATATCAGCCTCTCTGCCGGGAACACAGTCTGTGTTGTGAAAATAAATTAACTGCCACTTCTGCCTTTCACTTAATGCTGCGTAGTGTGAAGCAGTGGTGACTTACATGTACTCTGTGACAGGTGCGTTGCTGACGGTGTGGGCGGCAGCAGGGATGGAGGTCTCGCTGCCGTAGCTGCTGCCACAGCTGTACAGGCTGGGCATGTGGACTCGATACAGGTTATCGTGGTTTTGCCTTCCTCCATGGCTCAGAGACTCGTCCTCACTGTCCTCCTCGTTACTGCAAAACACAACACAACACTGTAACACCACCACCACCACCAGAGGGACCCCCTGTCCTAACTGTGTGATGATGACAAAGGAGCATAAAAATGCCACGTGGTCCCGTTTTGCTTTTATTCTCAGTCACGTTTTGATTCAGTTTCATCGCCGCCTGAGGGAGAGAAAACAGGATGAATCCTCTGCTGAAGCAAAGAACAGGCAGTTTTCCGCTGACCTTAATGGGCCTGAGCAAAGACTGTAAAAATAGACTCATCTAATTGGTTCCGTTCCTACCCGAAAATAAAAAGTCCTAATTTTGCATCAACACAATAAATGCATTTGCAGAAATGATGTGATTCCACTTGTTTTCAAACAATGAGGCTCAATAGTGTGTGTCTGAAACCAATAATGGACAGAACAACGATGGAGCCTGTCTCCCTCTAGTGTTCATGGCAGGCACAATCCATTTCCTGCATATCTAATCCATGAGGTCATAGTTTAGTGCAGCTTACAACACATTTTCAATTAAATGTTCATATCAGGAAAAAGTGGCAAAGCCATTAATGAATTAATAATACTAATAAAACCATAGAAATCCCAAAGTTAAATATAAAACATAAATAACTTGTCACTTCAAGCCGTAATTCCAGATGGGGTAAAAGGAATTAGTTTCATTACGACAGTATAACAGAACAAGCTTAGCAGCAACCACTGAGAGAAACAGACTGGTAGCGTGTAAGCCTTTGCTTTATAACAGGAAGCTCCAGCTGAGATCAAACTGATCAACATGCATGCACCCCCCCCGCCTCACGGCAAGAAGGGATCAGTTAATTATGTGGTGCAGCTGAGCTGACGGCTGCGCCTGGGAAACCACTTTCCCCATAGCCATCCTGCAAACCTTATCTGGTGCTGATAGGACGAAGAAATCATCCTGATTTCACCCCTCTGCTGCTGCAAACGACACCAGCTCAGGCGGTGGTTGTGATAGATTTAGGCCAACCCGGCACAATTAGCGGGGATAACGGGAAATAATCTATTTGAGGAAGCAGCTGAAGCCTTCTGGACTTGTCCCAGTGGTAAACACAGCCAGTCTTTGAACAGCAAACAAACACAAGCCTTACACAAAAATATTCATGTTCCCCTATCTGTGTGGAGGTTTCTTTTCTGAATTACTTTGTCTAGTTCATTCCCATGCCATGTAAAAACAAAAGGGTTCGAAGAAATGCTCTAAAACCATAATTAATTGATAGGCTTATCCTCTTGAATTATTTCTCACTGTATACACAGTCCCGTACACAAAGTCATCTTAAAAGCTTTTATGCAGCCTCCTACGTGGTTGTGAGTTGAAGGGAGTATACTGTACTCCTTTACTGGATGTCGTACCTCTTGCCCCGCCAGGTGTGAGGCACGCTGCAAACAATTGAGCTGAACATGAGAGCAGTGACGAAGGAGAAGAGCACAAGGTAGATGAGGCCTTCCAGTCCATCGTAACACAGACCTGTCATGGCCTGGACGTAGTCCTGAAACAAGAGGAGGCACAGATTTTTACTGTGGCACGTATGAACAGATCAGCATCTATATTAGAACAACTTAAGAATTTTGACAAAGATAAGAAGGAGAGAGCAAAACAAACACGAAGAGGTAGTAAAAAGCTAGAGTTGCTGTTTCTAAATTTTCGACATGTGGATTCAAAGGTCTTTAAAATGCATCCACTGTGAGTTCTCATTTAAACTAGGTCAAACCAATGAGCTCACAGTTGGCAAACTACAAGGAAGACAGTGCAGTTTCACCTAGGTTTGGAGAGAAGCACTACGCTCCACATTATCATGGCTGAAAATCTTCATTCTGTGTGCACTGCACAGCAGAAACACATTTGGTATTCCACTGAAGGTAGTCTAATTTTTGAAATAATAAGATTTGGCATGATAAAGGGGCAGTGGAGAGAGCAAGAAGAAAGAGCTCCGCTTGCACATGTGCACTTGGAACTTGGAAACCACTGAGGGAAAAATCTTCCCAAGCACAGTGACAGCCAAGTACTCATCATTCAGCCCAGCTTCATAAATGGTACATTGCCAGCATCAATTGGACTAGAACTTGCATACAGGAAGGCAAGTGTTATCTGTGGTGACAGGTGTAGTCAGCTGCACAAGCACAAAAGAGGGGTTATTTTGTAATGCAACTAAGCTGCACTGCAAAGATGTCACAACAAATCAATCCCCAGGCCCTTTTTTCATCAGACATAGAGGGACCCTACAGTCTTCTCTTGTAAGTCTTCTCCTCCCTGCTCACCATGTGCAGGCTGCGACAGTCCACCAGCGCAGTGAGCTGATGTAGGCTGATCTCTGTGGTGTTCAGTATCCCCTGGATCTCCTCCAAACTTCCCTGGAAATGAATGAGGGGAAGAAAAAAAAGAAAAAACACTGTTGGAAAAAGGCTTAACTTGAAATCCAACTTTCACATACTTGGATGCTTTAACCATCCGTGACAATGACATTGGGAAAAAAAAAAACAACTATAGTTAAATGGCAGTTTCCTGTCCGTCAGTTTAACCTGTCGGTTTAAACAGTCAAGAACAAGCCAACGTGGCTGCAAAAAGGAAGCAGGTGAACTATCAGGTGATTATCAATTCTACACACATTTATCAGGGATGTGTCTTTCATCAATACGCAACAGGACACAGAAGCTCCAGCTGAAAAAGCAGATTTCCTCATCTGATACACTGTCTCCCGTCTTCCTCCTGTTCTCATCACAGCTTCAGCAGAAAATACGTCCGATTTACCTGATAGAAACGTTTCCACCACCTCAGCACATTTGTCCGTGTGGGTATGTGAAGTGAAATATGCCCCTCTCTCTATTCCCAATGTCAGCTCTCATTTGTGTGTCTGTCAACACGGTGTAAGAACCAGCGGTGGACAATGCCACAGTGTTGTATTGACAAGGGCCAGTGAAAGCCTAATGCGGCTAAACGGACATAATGCACGTCCCAGGTGGGCTGTCAGCAGATCTTTATGTGGACAGGTGCGCTTCACTTCTCTGCAGCTCAGTCGTTTGGTCCCATTCATTGGGATATTCTGTCATCACAAATGGTACAATAGTACAGGACAGGACAGCTTGTGGCCTGGGGAAGGGAGGGGGTAACAGACACCCTGTAATGTGCCATTTCTAGTAAAGAGTGTATTGATTGGGGTGGGGGTGGGGGGGTTACCTTGGTTTGTTTATACTCTCTGGTGGCAGAGCGGAGCAGCTCGGACACATCATCCTGCATCTCCACTAATGCTTTGTGGCTCCCGGAAAGCTTCTGAAATAAAGCATGAATACTGTAGCGGCACAGAACATCTCGACAGTATTTTCATTTTTAATCATTGCCGAGAACCTTCAGCTGATATCTCCCATTTGTAGTCAATTAGACGTCTAGTGAAAGCATCGCAGACAGTTTATAGATGTGAGTTGAAAGACTTTATATATAGCTTATTTTTCTATACAGTTGTACTAACAATAGATGCCTGGACTTCAGCAGCACTCAAAAGTTTTGATTTATTCATGCAGCTTGAAAGAGAAAATGTAGGTAGTCCATTAAAGCGAACTATGGATTTCCCAGTAAAAGCGACATTCTCCTTTCATACAACATCACTACCGCCTAACACATATACTTTGAAGTAGGCACATGCTATCAGCACAGAGACACACAGGAAAAGTTGCTCTGCATCACTTTTCCTGCAGGCAGAATGGAAAGTATTGTACTACTGCATGGGAAAATGTCCTTTGAGGCAATGGGAATGACTCATTGTGCCCACTTGAATTCTTACCAGTAACAAGGTCATACATCATGCAGTAGATGTGTCTATGATATTGTGTCTACTCAGATTTGAGTACTGTAAGTGTCATATTGATTTGCAAGCCATTAGACAGACACAGTCTAGTAACTTTAAAAGAGAAAACTGGTTTGATTTAACATGTTCAAAATCCAACGAGCAGAAAAAACGTTGGTAATGTATGCAACAAACCTGCTGGAAGGGGTTGGTTTGTTCCACACTGCAACTAAGGTAGTACCGCAGGATTTCTGTGAGTAAAAGGACAAGAAGAACACAACAGATACTTTTAGCATATCTATACAAACTCACATCTACATAACAATTATCTTCATTACCAAATAATCTGCACAGTAATTTCTTGATTAATTGTGTTGTCTATATAAAGCCCAGCATCTTCAAATTACTTGTTTAGTCCGAAACAAACGTCCAAACCCCAAAGAAATGACACTTATCCCAGAAAGCAGAAAATCCTTAAATGATTCAAACAACTAATTCATGCTTGCATAAAAAAAGTCGATTAGTTTTCCGTTGGTTGACTTAGTGATTAATGGGATAATAGTTTCAGCTGTATGTCCATTAAAAAAAAAATACACACCCAATCAACAGCCAAGCTCAGGCAATGTAAAGCTTGTTTTGTTAGTTGTTAGTCTCAACTACATAGTTTTTGTGCCTGAAGCTGAGCTGGTGCTGTCTGAGATTCAGACGCTTGACTTGACTACTTTGAAAAGCTGAGGAGGGGGGCAGGTCAGGGCTAAGTAGTGTTGGTGTTTATGAACCAGAATTAGTACAGTGCAGCCGTGGAGCTTCATGCTGCAATCAAAGGCTTTTATTGATTTTATTTGAGGTCCATTCTATTATTTTTAGTCGTACCCGCTCACTGTAACTTGTGGTGAACTTGTTAACAGGCAGTTGCTGATGCAAACATCCAGCAACTACTATTCATTTAGAGGTGCACTACTGCCCAAATGGAAAGTCTAAGTCCAATATTCACTTTCATTTAGCTCTGTTTTTGATCTCTACCAACTCCTCAAGGAAATATCTGGTTCTTTAGCTGCTAAATGATTCACTGTGTTCACTAGCTAGTCGCTAACGGTGTCTGTCTGCTGTTTGGGACTGAGCAGTTGAATAGTGTACAGAGGGTTTTTTACACCTTTTTACTCTGAAAACAGCTGCCTGCTGAAGGTCATACCAACACTATGAGAGCAGTGAGCGTGAACCAAAACAGTAAGCTTGTGGCTGCACAGCTAAACAATGCGCTGAAACTCACTATAAAGCTCTGTAAGTTGTAGAGTAATGTAAAGCTCTGCGATTATAGCCACTTTAAAAAAACAGAGTCGTGTCTATTAATTCTGGTATCTCTTATTTAACACTACACTGTTCGCTGTACACTGCTTCAGCTACTACTCTTTTGTTCTAGGAAAGGGGCCAAAAGAAATTTTATTTTATTTTCTACATCTGTCTAGTCATGTTCCCTGCTGCGCCGTTAGAGCTTGATTGCTGCTGTAACTGTGCACCCACTGAGCTAATCCTGAGCTCTGAGGTGAAATGTTCCAAGAGAATAAAAGTTCACATGTACTGTAATAGTATGAATGAATTAATGTCTTTTTCCCTTGACGCAGAAAAACTTCAGCAACAACAAAACACACAGCCAGTGAGAGGCTTAGGTGCAACCCTCCTTACTGCGCAGAGCAAAACTCCACAAAGAGCAGTTACATCTCTGGAGATACTGTTAAATTACGACATGACCAAACTTGTACGCTCCTCACAAGTACACCATAAACCAAAGCAAGGTTTCGGACTTTCACATGCTATTGCTACCCACTTCACTTATTTCTTCTAAAACACATCGGTGAGTAGGAGTCGATGAGACGGGAGCATGTGACTAAAAAGCGATAGCAATGTCCACAGATACAAGCTGTGAGAACACCACCACCGACCTAACACATGGTGCAAGTGACGTCCGCACACACTGCCGTGTCAGGAGTTTCTTTCCCACACAGCTGAGCATGAGAGGAGAATTTCCGGTGCAAAAAAAAAAAAAAAGAAAAAGAAAAAAAAAAAGTACATATAAAACAAGCTTCTGCCGATCCAGCTCTCATCCATACACCCACACATGCAAATGTCAGGAAGAGCAGATTTCCTGTAGTCTGACTTTTGGTAATGGATGGAAAAACTGATGCCTCATTTTAGTTTTTGTGCCACTTGGTGTCAGTTCTATTTCTTTTTTTTTCTTTTTTTTTTTTTTGCCACCGTTCTATGCAGCAGAAAATGAAGACTTTGTTCTGCTAACGACTCAGTGATGATGAAACCTCAAAATAAAACAATGCAGTGGACAAGACAGGGGTATTGTTCTGTTTTACGATCAGATTGATTATCAGTGAGCCATGGGCTTGGGTCACATGGGAGCTTGCTTATTGGACAGAGATTTGGCAGCGCATTATCCCAGCAGGTTAAAATTTTTGGCAGGGTTAGGGAGTCAAAACAAATCTGGTTCCGGGCCCCGGAGCTTCACATAAAATGCTCTCTGAGTATTTTGTTATCATAGGTTTTCTAGGCATGAGGAACTGCTGGCTGCCATATTATCAACCAAACTGAACAAGCAAACGTTCTACAGAGAGAGACTGGCCTCTGAATAAATGCTCAAGTTATTCAGGATTGCATATTTTGATTAAATAAAAAAAAAATCTGCATCATTTTGATGCAGCTCATGTTTGCTGCATTTTTTGTGTATGTTTTTGTGTAAGTATTTCACAAACAAAACCAGCAGAATACCAGAGAAACACGAAAGATGAACTCTCACTCTCTGACTGGATCAAACCCGTGTGTCTTATTACACAATGAGAAGAAACAGAGGAATGAAAAATAACAGTGAGGGTTGTTGAAAATATTCAAGAAAATATAACAGCCATCCAGGGGAGGAAAGCAATAAATCTAGTGTAGTAATAACACGCTTTGTGCTATCAAGAGGTTTGTCTGCTGCAATTTCAGACAGGCAATTGCTGAAAAGGAAAAATATACAAGAACTAAATAAGAAGTTATCTTTCCAAGGCTGACATTTGTGGGTAAAAATAAGTATATAATTATATTTTTATTCAAAATTTAATTCATTCGTTGAAACAAATAGAGATTTATTTGAACTGCTTAATAGTTAACACGTGTTTCAGAGGAAAAAATAGAACTGAAAACCCCCATACTGCATGAATCAGCCCCCGGGGCAAAATACAGCTTCATAGCAGCAGAATAATACAGTCCAGTGCATAGAATAAGTCGGTGCTCTCAGATCAACCATACAGTGCAAGATTTACAGCTGATGCCCCAACTTCTGCCCAAAGGCTTGAATTGTGTATTCAGAAAAATCACCATATTTTGGCAGAAGCTGCTGCTGAAAAAGGACACGGAGTAGGCACAGAGTGAGCACCATCTTCTCATTTGGCTTCTCCAACAACTGAAGAGGGATGCAGGAAATATATTGTCTCTGATCCTCCCCTCCACCATCCTTATCTCCCTCATACACTCTGCTTCTCTCACACACACACACACACACACACACACACACACACACACACACACACACCCAAGGCACCATTTTTCCTCTTACACGCATCCCATCATGGGACAGATTGAGCAATTACTGAAATGAGACGCGACAGAGAGACTTCTGTACTGTTTAAAAAGGCAGCCCATTGCCCTCTTGACCCGGCTGCAGATGTGCCAGTAAATTTAGAAGCCTTTTATGGGCCATGAACAAAACCAAGCCCTCGCTCTTTAGAACAATGTCATCTCACTGCAGCACAATAACCTGTCCTCTGCAATTGTAGATGACTAATATTCCTGATTTTAAAGAGCTGACTGAGTGAACACAAAGCCATATCTTTACAACATGCACATGAATAATACTTAGTATATGTGATTCATACCTTGATTGATGACTCCATACTGGGCTGCCACTTTTGTGACATACGTGTCAGGAGCAACACAGAAATCACTGGAGGTCTAGAAAAAACAAAGACACAGTTACAGTCACAGTTTTGCTTCATGTTAACAGCAATGAAGTGAAACAGTGTCACAGACGCGACAGTGGATGCACCGTCATCTTTGATGTAACATGCGAGTAATTGATCACAGCTTTAAAAACACTTACAACACCACAGGCTGACTGTGTCTCAGCTGAGAGCATTTGCACCAACTAAATTAAGCACATTTAGGTGTGAAGTCTGATTCATCTGCAGGGGAGGAAATCCTCCACATGAATCTTTAATTTACATAAATATTCACATGCATCAACATTTTCCATCCTCCTGGAGAATTAACGTAAAAATGTGTCTTTGAATCAAGTCATAAAAAAAAACAATATGCAAACATTGTGGATTCATGCTGCTGTTGATTTAAGTAGTTTTTTCTCCTCCATGTAGCACCCAAATTAGTTGCCTTGGCTCTCTGAGAACAATGGCTGCTATATTATGGCTACAGAGTTAATCCCAGTTGTTTTTGCTTGTGATCACAGGTCTTAATCACCATCATTAGACTAGAGGATTTTTGGAAAATGCTGACTAACCAGGAAAATGTACCCCCTGTACTTTGCAGCACAGCCTGATACAACAATTTCTCCACAAATCACCACAAATGTAGTAGTTTCAACAAAAGCATATTTCATTTAAGGTAGTATTTATTGCCCACTTTAGTTACAGTGAAGGGATACTGCACTGAAAAGCATCATACAAGTGTTTCTATTTTTAAGATCACCCAGTGTATTTCAGCACACACTTTTTTTATAAATATTTAAACTCTTCAACCGATTAAGTGAAACAAAATCCAAGGCCAAATTCTGTAGTCGTTGGCTGTGCACACAAAAATCGTGTTATCCAATTATACGCAATGAACTGTGCAGCTCTACCTGGGAAAACAGGATCATGCTATGATGGAGACACTCACCGTGGAGATGGCCAACTCCAGCCCCAGGGAGACCCAGCTGATAACCAGAGCCACTACACCAAACAAGCACACCCTGGGGAGACCAAGAGGAGGTGTTAAGTGTAAATGCCTTAATAAGTTGTCTTTATCTTGTTTATGTTCTGAATGTCTTAGTTTGTCTCACTCGATTTGTAAAGTGTTCTTGGGTGTCTTGAGAGGCACTCATAAATAAAATGTATTATTATTATTATTATTATTATATGTACATCTACAATGATATACATGTAAAGCTGCAACAATTACTTGATTAATCAATAGTGATGTGATGAATTGAAGACATTTCAACAAAAAAAAAGTGTTGTGGTGCCAGGTTGTAGGATGTGAATATTTTCTGGTTTCCTTACGTCTTTTACATTTGTAAACCAAATATCTTTTTGCTGTTGGTTGGACAAAAGAAGACATTTGAAGAGTTGGGCTTTGGGAAACTGTGATGGACTTTTTTCAGATTTAATCGTTAATGAAAACAATTGTTCATCTAAAAGGAAGAACAGGATAGGAGGAAAGTATAGGAGCTGTGTCGGCCAATCAACTGACTCACACAAGTCACTACATGACTTATTTAAGTTAAATGCAGCTAAATACTGATATAGGTTAATGTTAATGTTACTGAAATTACTGTATTGTATTTTTGCGTCTAAAAAAAAAGTGTCAAAGTGTCATTAGTAATCATCAAAATACTGAAGATTAAATTAACTGTGACTGTGCTGATATTTTATAGAAAGCATGAATCCATCCTGATTAAACTGTACTGACAAGGTGGCTCTGATGAGTCGGGGGCTTCATGTACAGTAATTGCCGTTCACTCTGTGACAAGACCTTAAGTAATTTCCCAGGGCAGAATCGTTTTCCCTTAAGTGTTCTTGTGGCCATGATCTCATGATGGGACTCACCCTATAAGTGTTCCCTTGGAATTGCGAATGAGGCCGAACAGCACCAGAAGGCAGATGAGGACATCGAACAGTAGCAGGCCTATGTAGCCCAGCCACCTGTGAAGACAAATGCCATTAACAACAAATGGCTGAGAGCAGCACAGCAAACCGTCGCTCAGCAGAGCTCCATCTTAAAAGCAATCCTAATGATTTTTTCTAACCCAGCTCTAAGGATTCCACAAAATCGTTTTTGCTGTGTGAAATTGGGCAATTTAAGTGAATCTGCATTCATAGAGTGTATCTCATGTCAATTCTGCTTTGAATTAATGGCCGTCTGTAAAACAATGAGCCACTTGCATATTTATCATTTTAGGCAAACTCAGTACATCCCAGAGGGACTGCCACAACACTGTCTTCAATATCTTCTAACAAACTGGGAAAGTCAAGGCAGGTTTAAAATTCTTGGTAAGTCAGCTGCCTGTGCTCACATCTTCCTCCTACTTTGGATTCACTCAGATATTTTATTACAGACAGATATCCAACAGAGTGTTGTCGGACAACGCTGTCTCACCAGGGAAAAGACAGACTAACTTTGAACCTTTCAACAATATTTGAACTCCGAGAGAGTCGAGTCTTCACAGGGATGTAAATTACTGAAGGAGTGTGTGTCTGCATAGAAAGTTTAACACTAAGATGTGTAGCACATGAATCATGGTCTGCTGTTTTATGTGATGCTCATATGTTAATCAACACTGCTGCTGCTGCTGCTGCTGCTGCTGCTGCTGCTGCTGCTGCTGCTGCTGCTGCTGCTGCCACTCCTCACTGTGCTGCATCAGACAGGAGCTGAGTTTTTGTTGTATTGTGCTCTTTGTTTGATTGAATGTTTCTTGGACTCCACCGTTAAAGACGTACCTGTACCAGTCATACAGCTCAATCGTGACGGCCAGCTCTTCCAGGGAGATGTTGGTGCTGTCCCAGAAGGGAATCTCCACCATCTGCCTGACCAGCTCGTCCAGCTGGCCCTGCAGCTTTTGGATGATGGACAGGTAGTCCGCATGCTGTGCATACTGGCCCTCAAGCTGTTGCAGATTGTCGTCTACTGTCTGGTTCAGTGAGGATGTACTGTCATATACCTAGAATCACCCCATTGACAAACAAAGTCATGACTGAGCTCAGAGAGGACAAGCAGATTCACTACAACAGCTCTACGGGTAGAGGAAACCAGCACTGCTCCTGGCAGATGGGTGATGAATTATTAAATATGCTGGTATAATTTGTGCTCTGAGTCTTACCAGCTTCTGCACTCCCGTGATTGTACGGTTTGCATGGCGCAGGGAATACGTCAGCCGATTCACTCCATCACAAGTCTCGCCGTTCCCATAGAAACCGACAGCAATGCCAGCGCTGAGGGGAGACAAAAGGAAGGGAGGGGAGACAGGGTGGTGAGGAGGAGGGATTAGCTAAAAAAGACACTGAGAGGAGACAGAGAAGAGAGCGGGCGAAGGGGGACAGCGAGGCAGTGGGAGAGGCGTGTGAACTCTACATTAACCCTGTCGGCGCAGACCCCAGTCAACAGGCTCCTTTCAGCTTCCAGCAGAAAGACTCCATACAGAACCATGGAAACACAGAGGAATGGACCAGCTATGCCCCAAACCCCACACTAGGGCTGACAAAGGCCGTACTGAGGCAGGAGATCAGCTCTCATTTGCACAGACAGGCCTCAGGTTGCAGAAAAACAGTTCTGGCAACTGCACAGGCAACAGTTTCTATAGGTACAGCCACAGGAAAAATATTTTCACAATGTTAAAAAATATTCTGCCAATTTATGCATGCAATTAGCAATCTTTTCTTTTGATATGTAGCAGAGAGTAGAAGCTATTCACAGTAAAATTGCTGTGTTCTATTTTAGTGAAAAAAAAAAATATCTAAAGATATCTCTTCCTGTGTTGCAGCTGTTGGTCTTTTTTTGCTAACTCCCATCCAATGCCAGAGTGCATTTTATAAAGTGGGATGATAATAAGCGAATCACTCCAAGCCCAGTCTAACAGCGTTCAGCCTGCCACCAACGGGCTTTCCTCTTCCTGGTGGGCTGCTAATCTCTTCCTCTCACACTCTGTAGTGTGAATAAGGGTGAACAGGAGCAGCGTCACAGCAAAAAATAAAAACCAGCCTCCCTGCTGCGTTGTGCACCTGTGGAAACTGTGCTGCTCATTCTTTATTGTACAAAACAACACTGAGAAATATCCTTAAAAAGAGGCGCAGTGTTTTGTGCGATGATACCAAAGCGTGGACTCCCCTGTCAAAGAACAAAAGCATAACAGAACAAAGCGCAGAAATGCCTCCAACTTGGTTTTACTTGCTTTCACTAAAACGTTTGTGCGTGGCCACAAGCACACACTGATACAGTGATTATGATGCAGTTCTTGTACTCATCAGGTCCCCAAGCTCTTTGTGCTACGCTGAATCGACCGTGATGGCTCTCCAGTGGCCCATCAACAGAAGGAGGAAAACAGGAAACTAACGCAGTGTTCGAAGATAGAAAGCATGTCCAGATGGTACAGTTCTCACACTGTCGCCTTCAAAGATAAAAAAATAACAAAGCATAATATTGAAGCCAATGTATATAGCAATTATAAACATGCAAATATAGGCTACATTCCCTCAGTATTAATGTACAGTCCCAACAGGAGTGTTTTTGTGACTGCAACAACCCAAAGTACATGAGTATGCAGCATTTTCTTAAAAAAATTATGAGATCGTTTAAACTTACTTGTTAATATTTGCAATACAAATTTAGGGCTGTAGTCTGGGTGTTAGTTCCGCCTTAAAAGCTCAGTTTAGGGAAAAATGTAAGTTGTCTGGGTCTCTGATAACAAGTGGTTTTACTGAAATGTGATTTAATTTGAGTTGGGACAATTTTGTGTGGTGAAACCTGGTCATTTTCCAACTTTGCAAGCCAATTCTTCTGATTTGGCAATTTCATGTGAAAATACTGAGGAGACTGAAGACAATTTCAAACCTACTGTTGTTTGGTTTTTGTGTCCTGAGGATACAGAGAGGCAGGCTGTTTCAGGCTGGTTCCTGCCTCTCTGGTTTCAGCACTGACCACATGATTCAAATATTCAGCGAAGATTGTCAGGCTGACGTCCTGCCTCTTCCCGTGTCTTTGTGTTTGTGTGAATGCAAAGTATCTACCATCAACAATACAACTGGGGAACGCCACTGGCAGAAAATGCAGACAGTATGCATCTTTAGAAGATTTACTCCTGAGAACTGGTTGCTTTCTTTGCTTTGTTGCAATACACATGCAGCAGAACGTGGCAGGTTACCTACAGTTCATTCTGTCTAACGCTCCACTCGTGCCACGCCTATGTATATGTATGAAGGCTGTCAAACCCAGACACTCAAAATATCAGAGTTCAAATACAGATTCTCTGAAAGCCGCACCAATCTGTCTGCCGATATTCTGAAATAACTTTTCAGTTTCAGGATAAAAGGAATCAGGACCCTGTGTTAAATGAACAATATATAGTAAGTAACTGTGCTTGGGGATTCAAATACACTGACTCCTGACCACTGTGATCCTGTGTTTATACTCACCTGCAGACAAGTGTTGCTATGATGACACACCAGGCCGTGCAGCAGCAGTCAGCGTTGGGCTGCTCCACATTTTTGGTTCGCCGGCAGCACAGCCAGATGGAGTAGAAGAGCAGAAATAGGAGGTCCAGGGCCAGACAGGCGAGCGCCACACCTCCCAATAACAGGATGGACTGATGGACAGAAGGAGGTGGTTATGGAAAGTTCACCGCTGAAGCCACTTTCATGTCAATAACAGTGGGGATAATTGCCTTACAAAGTTTCCCACGGAGAAACATCACACAGTATGCCTGAAGAACTGAGCTGCAAATACTCCTTACATACATTCTCTTCTTCTCTATGTGAACTTTTGTTGATTTGTGTCCATCACAAGCTTTAATAATAAACTCTGTGCAGCAAAGGGGCTTACAGTTGTCTTACCCATTGTCCTAAATTAAAAACTGAAGGTAGGATTTGTTTACAAGTACCCTGGAACACAGACCATAATTAGCAGAAAACATCAATAATATAAGATCTCATCTTTCTCTGTGACGTAAAAAAGAAAAAACAAAAACAAATGAGAAGGCAGCTTTTAATTTTCATGAGGTACTGAACAGCCTGTTCATTTAAGCCCAAGGAATACAGAGCTAATTGTGGACTTGATGTCCTAGAGACAACTGAAAAAAGCCACAATGAAAGGGTTCTGTTAAGTGAGAGAGAGAATTACAAAATGCTGTGTGAAAGAAATGGAGAGATAAATACCCCCTGAACAACTCTAAAAGAAAAGGCTGCTATTATTCGCTAGATTTTACCATTGTCATCATCAATCTTCACTGGCAGAATTTCAAAGCTAGCACTACAGCAATATACAGTGATAGTTACACCTCTCAAGACACAGCAGCACATCCTATGTAGGTCACACAGAGGGCCTCTGTGTTCACTGTATACTCTTGAGGGTTCGGGACTGGCGCAGATTTCCATCCTGCCACTTTTGTTTTGAGAAAAATTCAGTTTTGGTTGCATTTGTTTAGTTTTCTCAATGATGCATCACAGCGACAGACACGCCCTGATGCAGTGGTTGTCGAACTGTTCGTGCCAGTGTGGGAACTCAATCTTATCAGTGAACAATTGCAGGCTCACAAGCATAAAGTCTGGCCAGTTTAGTATTGAGTGTGATACAAACAAGACGGACTGGCTTATCAGACACAAATGCGACTGACTGATTCAGCTACCGCATGTTGCTTTGCATAGTTCAACCAAACCAGGGTTCACCGAGTGCAACAGTAATCCAGGAGTAAGAAGCTATACTGCTACTGCATGTTACGTTTGATGCATCACTTCCATATGACCTGTGCATCATGGTGACGTAGACCAATACTGAGCATCCCTGACAGCTCAGCCATCTGGATATGTCAAGACTTCCCCTGAAGCCTGACTGAGAGCACTGCATAGTTAACAGCCTGTCATCACAGTACGGTTAATAATTATGGTTTAGCAAGCTAGCTTAATGATGACCACTTTTATGTTGCTCTTGTCAAGATGAATGTGTGAAGGGAGTGAGATAATGTGCTTTAACAGCTGAATTAGCTGTGCGCGTTTTAATAAAATGTACATTATAGTTTAATCCAGTCCATCCGGCTTCCTCTGAATACTCTCATTTTAACACTGGTGTTGTTCATGCTCAACTTCTCACTGTTCATGCTGGACATCACACAAACACAGCTGCAGCCATTATCCAGTCAATGAACCCGTCCTATTTTCCACCAGGAAAAGGCTCCAAATCATACCTCAGAGAGATCCAGAGTGACAGTAACAGTGAGGTGGTAAAAAAGTTGTCTTTTTCCCCAGCAAATGGACCCCAGTGCCACCTCAAGTAAACAATACATTCCTTTAAAATGCTGATTTTGTCTGATTTAGTTCTCACTAAATTGTGGATCAGTTGAAGAAAATACTGTACACTTTTGAATTACTTTCTTTTTCAAACATGAATGTCTGTACAAGGTTCAGCATAACACCGTACATGAACACAGCTGACAAAAATTTCTAGAACGTGGGCTCCCATTTCTCACAAACAGTGGCTCACTTCTTGATTTTCTGAGTCACACTTCCACGGTAAAAGGGAAGCATTGTTATTTTGTAACTTGTTCACACTAAAGATTCACCCATGTCTGGCAGTTTTCACTTCTGTTAAGAACTACCCCTCTATCTATTGTCATTCCCTCCACCAGTACTGTCTGAAACTGGCATGCCACACACTCATTACCCTGTCTGTCAGAGCACTTCAAAGAACCACAACACCATAGAAGATTTGGTAATGACGCATTTTCAAAAGGGAACGACATAAACAAAGTCCATTAATAAATGAACTAAAGATACTGGTTTTATAATCAAATAACATTGGGATATTTAGCTCTTTACTACACTCATAACAAACACAAAAACTTCCTATCTTACCAGACAAGGTATTAAGTTAATTGAACTGTCAAATCAGCTGTTTCCACAGAATTTAAGTATTACCCAGCTTTCACAGATGGTAAGGGATTTCTTTGTTGAACCTAAAACCAAAAAGAATGCAATGTAATCTGAAGTTAATGCTGAGCCATCTGACACTATTCAGTTTTCCTGAGTTTTAAAGCACAATGTATGCACAATTTCTCTACTGAGAGGCATAACCTGCACACAAGTCAATGGTCAACAGAAACAAACTGCATCAGGATAAACAAGTAAGTGCTAAAAACTACCACTGCTATAATAAAACCAAATATCACTTTACCTAAAAGAGATTCTCTTTAATATTAAACATTTGAACAAATGTCATGCTGATCACCCCTCCCCCAGTCTTAGCTGTTCACCATGCTGTGCAGTCACCTGCTGGACCCTTGCTACCAGTTTAACCTCTTTAATCTGAGAATAATAAGGGGTTTTATTGCAAAGGCACTTCAGAGTCAAAATGCTCCTCTGTGGTATAACGAACACTGGTAATGACTTGATCTTAAAGAAAATAATATTTGAGGTTGCTTAGGCCAACTTAGGTGGCTTGGCTCAGACTATACAATGCCAGCTGGCCAGTGTCTGGAAAAGGTCAAGACACGGATATAACAGCTACACACAGATGGTGACATGGATCAAAAGGTGAAGAAGGAGAACAGGTGGAAAAAGGTCATCTGTCACTGATTTTATTCATCTACACCATCACCATCATATCCTCCTAAAGGTGGACACTGAAATCAAACTGATACTGTGACAAACTATTAGTTAAAACATTTAGTTAAAAACATATCTGTGGGTATGTGTTGGCTGCCTGGGAACCCCAACTTCTAGAGTCACCTGACACGAAGCAAATGAGTCAGAGAGGTGATTTTACCTGTTGATATGTCCAGTCCTCTGGTTGGAAATCACTGCTAGTTTGCTCGAACTTGAGGTTGAAATGGGGCAGTCTGTGTAGCAGGTTCACCCACCATGGTGGAGAGTAGCTAACCACTGCTGCCATGGCGAGTAAACGTCAATGAGATGCGCTCAGCGGACAAACAAGCAAGGATGCTTGAAACTGTAAACAGGCAGGGGAGTCCACTTCATAAAGCCTGTCTGTATCCGGGATGAAAGCAAAGAAAACAAACATTATTGCTCACTAGCATCAGAAGCTAGCTTGCGTTTCACATACCTGGTAAAGTTGAAGTGTTATTTTGACTGTGCCAATCAAAAATATTGAATTACTCACTGATATGGAAATCGATACACAATTTAAAAGCTACACACACTATATTACATTATTTAGCATTGGCTGTTTCAAACACCACTGTTGGCTAACTTGGAAAAAACTAGTAGTTAGCTGTTACACCGGCGACCAGAAGCTTAGCCAAGCTAGTTAGCTTGTTAATCTGTCAAGTTAATAGAGAGTTGGGTCGCTAGCGGGGTTCCTGCTACAATACTAGCCGTGAACACCCCCGGAGTACCATGGTCCATTTAAATTTTGGTTTTTAAAAATCCGTTGTTTAAGATCGTTAAGTGTACCCGTAATGTAGCTAGCGTTAACTCAGCTAACGTTAGCCGGTTTAGCCACTGGTTAGTTCAGTCCGCTGAGAGTCGAATAACAACAACAAGTCTCTTTTGTTCTTCTTGACATCCTGCTCTGCGGTTTGTTCACATTACATCCTGTTTTTTGATGGTTTGTTTGTTGTAGTTGGTGATGTCTTGTGGTCTTATTCCGCCGCAGCAGCTCAAACAAGCCCCTTCGAGTTAAACCTCCATCCAGTTACAATTGGAGTGCTGGGAGACTGGAGCCAACACAGCGACTGATCACGGCGTTAACCCAGATGGCAAGTCGCCCGGCCCGGCCCGCACACATCCCACCTCACCGGCGCAAAAACAACCCAGCAGCGCCACCCAGAGGCGCCCCAGTGTCGACTGAGAAGTTCAGTTAGTGTCGAAAATAGTATAACAGCTTGTCGACTGCATTATCGAACCAGAGGTGGTGAACAGGACATGGCCCCAGGGTAAAAAATGTCCCTGGGGCCCTATTGACCCCCACTATACATGACCATGGCAGTTTATTACATCTCCAGGCCAACCAGTACTCTGGAGCTGAAATAATTAGTTGATTAAGCAAAAAATGAATTACAAACAATTTTGATCATTCATAAGCAAGAAAAAGCCTAAATGTAAACTTTAACTAGTTTCCCCAGTTTTCTATCATAGCAATCCTAACATCTTTGAGTTTTTGGCTGTTTGTCAAAAAAAAACTATTAAAATATCTTAACTTGGGATCCAGGGATTAATGATGGCCATTTCTAATAATTTTCTGACATTTTATACACTGGACAATCAGTTGATTACTATAAAAAAAAATTGTCAGACATATTAATAATGAAAATAATTATTGGTTGCAGCCTTACAGTACTGCTATGATGGAGTAATACGGCCAGGGCCATGAAGGACGGAAGACCTGAGATAGATGCTGTTGTACTTATGTGGAATAAATTAACAACTAATTATTGATTAATGAAATTGTGTGGATCCAAATGATAAACATGTAGCCCCTGGGCAGTTGCCCGCTTTACCTCGTTGGTAATCCAACTTTAGTGTATACAACAGAATTTGGGATTTCTGAGATTTGACATGGGTTAAAAGCAAGAAGCTAAATCAATGTGCAAAGCATGTTTTAACGTGATTTAAAATGCTTTTGCCCATTCTGTAGCGGTGCCCTTTTGATTTCAACTTCAGTAACTCAAAAGCTAAAACTTACGAAAAGTCCCTGAAGGCAGCATTATTAATACCTACGGGTTTTAAGAATGAGGAACAGAAAATTAAACCAAATTTACTTGCACAAATGAAACCAGGAAACAAACAGGTCTCAACAAGACAATATTCCCTAGATTATTTAGTAAACCGCAGACCGATCGTCAGAGCTTCTGGTTTGAGTGACATAAGCAGAGGCGTAAAGTTTAAATTACACCAGTATTATGACACACTCTTTAGTCACCGGAGAATGTCCGTTTATACAGCTGCTCTTCTTCAGACTTGGACTTTAACCAGCGCTCACTACAACTTTAAGAAATAAGTTACTTGTTTTTTCTTTTCTTCAGGAAATCACATGGAGGTGCTCTTGTGCTCACATGACACTCTGAACCATGGCAGGAGAGATCAATGAAGGTACGTTGCGAAAACTTCTCACACTCTTCTCAACGCTGTGTTGCTTTATCGCTTCCTTCTTACTTTAGTGTTTTGTTCGGCGTTGCGGTGTCAGCACGGTCAAAGATATTTGATTTGATGTGTTTAAAATGTGGCTATTCGTGCTCGTTGAAGTCGCGCTGTGGACTAACCAATCAGAACTTTTGGGTACACTGCGATCGGAATGAAGTAGCTCCATCTTAAAAGCATTCACGAGTAGATAATGTTACTTTAAATCACCTGCTAATGTTTTCTTGATACCCGATATTGAACAGCGGCAGTGAATATTACTGTTAACCACAATGTCAGAGGGGCAAAAGGTTTATGAAAGTTTTAATGCTTTTTTTTTTCCTGCCACGTGAAAACTGTCAGCTGGTCTCTTCAGTACCGAACTCAGCAGTACATTATCAGGCCTATACTGAAATAACCAGAGATGTATTATCTTTATTTATCTGCCATACATACCGTACAGCTGATAAGGTTGTTCACGTACTGAATCTTTAAGCATTTCTTTGTCTCTGAAAATAGGAATGTTTTGGCCATCAGAGCAAAACTGTTTTATCTGTGTTGGGATGAAATAAGGTCATATGACAGGAAATAAAAAGAGTAGATGTATAAAAGGTGATATGATCACCATATATCCAGCTCAGGGTACCACAGATGTAAACTATGGTACTGTATTAAAATGATATTTGTTCATATTGGGTGGTTGTGATGCTATCTAGGTGTTGTTCCTCTTTTAGGCTCAGTTCCTGCCTATTACAGGGAAGTATATGTGGCCGTCCGCTGTAGGACAGATGAGAGGGTGCAGGTTGAAGTTTTTCAGCGGTTGCTCCAAAGGACCGATCTCCCCAAGGCTGTATTAGGCCAGGTGAGAGGTTCACACTTGAATTATCAAGATGCTGCAGCAGACAACAGTTTATAAATTTAAAAAAAAAAAGCTGTGATAAGCATAACTGTAATTTGATACAGAGACATCCATTATATTTTATCCTTTAAACTGACATTTGCCTTATACAACTTGTACAAAATATAGGCCTTGAATTTACACAATGGAGGTGTGTCCTATACATCCATCACATCTTCTCTCTAGATTCACTTATTCCTCTTAAGAGCCACAGGGGTCTGTAGCTTACTGGGGTGTGCACTGAGCACATGGTTTCCTATGCATCCATGAATGAATATGAAATAATTACTGACTGGTGAATTAAATAGTCTGCAAATTGTGCTGCTCTAATCAAAATGGATAAATTAAACACTTGAGTGTATGGCATCCCTGCTCAAATATTAGTTTGATTCTGATAAGACATATTTTGTGAGTTGCTATTAGGCAATAAAGATAAAGTAGATACAGATGTAATTTCTTATCAGTAACAGGCTGGCAAAAGCTTTGTGTTGCCTAGCAGACTGTTAACCACCTCATCTGTTAGATTTTTCTTTCTTTAATGCTGAGATATAGGTTAACGTTACAACACATCAGTGTTATGAAATGGTTCTGAGCGTATAGTTTCTGTGGTATATTTCAGGCGCAATTCCCTTCTCCTGACCTCCTGACCGCATATCATCGCTTTTGTGTCTGCTGAGCTTTTTTTTTTTTTTTTTTTTTTTTTTTTTTTGCATAGAGGAATGCAAACCACAGTTGAATTTAGATCTCAGACTGAAAAACGGTGACCTTTAGGTCATATTGTCTTTGTCCTTCTCAGATTGCTGAGCATGTTGACTCCACAGATGGATTCCTGAGCAAGTTGTCCCTCTATAAAGCGCTTGCTTTGATTGCCCTTGCTCAGCAAGGAAGGCAGCCAAGCCCCAAACTCTTGGAGAATTGCATACAAGGTAGGTGACAGCATTACAGTGTTACAGTGACAGCAGTGCAGTAAAGGTTTTGCTTAATGAGTAGCCTGGTGATTCTTCAGATATACCTCTACGGTCAAGATATTTCTTTTATACACTCTGTTATTGGCCCTTTATGACAGTTTACCACTGGAATATACACTTACTGCTTTCAGTTAGATATACTGCATAGTATGGTAATAGTTGTAAAGCAACAGAGGGACCTTTAGCAGCATTTAGATAAAATTTTGAAGCAATTTTCCACCTCATGCTTTTAGCCTCTTTCACAACAGAAGAAAAGCTCACATTTTGTTTTAATTCATCTTCATTTGTTTTATTTTATTTTGGTAGAGAAGCCTAAGCTATGTTTAAGTGTTGCATTCTTTCACTAGTCTTGGAGTGCGAAGATGATGGGGGGGGGGCGTTTATGGTTTTCATAGAGGTAGCCATTATGCTGGCTTGACTTAGATCCATTCCCAACCTTCTGTGATTATTTAAGGCCCTCTCTGTTATTTCAGGTGTGGCCAGTACAGCAGCTTGCAGCATGCCACTTCCTCAGCTGTACAAGAACAAGTTTTCTGCATTTGTCCCAGTACATTACATTCAATTCATGACCCTCTTGGAATGTACAGGAAGGGATAAATCACAGAACACACGCACAATACTGTACTAGCTAAAGACAAATAGAGTCGGACACGGAGTAATCTGCACAACGGAGAAAAGTGTTTTTTTTAACAGCATTCCTCCCTATTGGGAAATTCATTTGATCCTATATGTATTGATTTAATCATGAAAAACAAATATTAGAAGCTGGTTCTGCCGGTGTGCTTGACAGAGTTACCGAAACCTCAGCTCGGGGAACCAAAGGATCTGAGCGCACTGAGGATGCAGCCAGCTCAGGAGGACGCCCTGATGATGTCCAAGACGCTGGACAAGCTGCTGGTCATAGACACAGTCCAGGTGGAGCTCATACCTGAGAAGAAGGGCCTGTTCCTCAAACATGTGGAGTACCAGGTCACCAGCCAGGCAAGGCATCCCATAAAAGCTACCACGCATCAATTATTGTTGCTAGTCGTTAGAAAAACCTCAAAAGCAAGCAAATGTTTATCTTACCTATGATGATACTGATTTTTTTTAAATTTATTTGAAAGTTACATAAAATCTACAGAAATGTTATTTGCACTTTCTCATTTTCTGATCATTTTATGTCTTTGCTTCTTATTTTTCAGCGTTATAAAATATCAGTTTACAGACGCTATAGTGATTTTGATGTCTTCCATGAGGTTTTGCTACAGAGGTTTGCCTACAGAGTGGTGCCGGCGCTGCCACCTAAAAGGATGTTAAAGGGAGGTATGTCTGAACACTCTGACATCTACACAGTTACTAATGTATTTCTTTGTTTCTGCATTTATTCCATCTTAGATTTTATACGATCCTTTTGGAACCTTTTAATTATTTACAGACTTTTTTTTAATTTTTTTATTATTATTTGGGTTTATATGCAAACATGAATATCCAGGAGGTTTTGAATGATAAGGAATAAATGTTTATTACTGTCAATGTCAATGCAGACTGCTGTTATTGCAGGTTCTATTGTTTCAAACAGACATCGCTGCTCATCAAAGTTATTGCCTGAGAGAAACAAGGAAACAATTGATGCATAAAATGAGCCTGTTTTAGTTCACTCATGTAAATGTGCCGTCACACCAGTTGTGCTCTTTTTCTCTCATGCTACTGATTGATTTGTGTAGCTCAAGATCTATTTCAGTACTCTACGTGTTTGTGCCTTTTTTCAACAATAAGTGCAGAGGACTTTTGACGCTCTGAGGATGTCAGTAAGATTTTGACAACGGTGAATTTACTTGCTGTAAATTGAAAGAGTGTTCCGCTGATTTTAGCAATGAACTTCTATAACAGTGGTGTACTCATGATGGACAGTTAGAAAAAAAGTATGATAAAAGATGTTATAGAAAATACAAGACATATCTTTTTTTTCTTTTTTCTTTTTTTTTTTAATCTCATGCATTTTTCTTCCTTTTCAAAACAAATCCTGCTGCCTACATTACTCACAATGCAACTCAACCACCAACAGTTTGGTCAGAGTTTCGGGTGTGTTATAGTAGCAGCTTCACTTGAGGAAGAAACTGTGATGTGTAAAATCAGTGGAACTTCCCTTTGATGTTTGTATTTATTTAGGGATAGTACATTATATAAATTGACCTTAAGGTGGCTTTAATAGATATTTCTATTATAATAATGTATCAAATGACAATGTGAAAACAATGACAATATGAAAAGGCTTCCTCAGTGATAAACCTGCAGAGAAATATCACCCGACTCTGCAGCTCCCCTCGGCTTTAGAGAGCTTACATCAGCGGTCCCCAAACTTTTTTCAGTGGGGGCCACATCAACTTTCCTTTCTGAGATGGGGGGCCGAGGTTAGTCTATAACAGGAAATGATATGGGCCAGGGTGACAACCAGTATTATTGTGGAGATTACAATGATAATTTGTTGTAGCTGCCCTTCGTTTGGCTTTGGCACCACCTGTTGATTTGCAAAAAAAAGTAATAAAAAGTCTTCACATGTGTTTATTTGAAGTACCACAGATACTCCATTTATTTTATAGAAAATAACAACACAAACTGATGGTAATGCCGGGGGGGGCGCCGGCGGGCCGCTGGGCGGCTAGCTCTGCTTGCTGGGCGCAATGCGCTGTGCCAGGGAAGGGGGGCGCCGGCGGCCGCCGGGCTGCTAGCTCTGCTTGCTGGGCGCAATGCTGTGCCGGGGGGGGGGGGGGCGGCGCCGGCGGGCCGCCGGGCTGTAGCTCTGCTTGCTGGGCGCAATGCCTGTGCCGGGGGGGGGGCGCCGGCAGGCCACCGGGCAGCCCAGCTTCTGCTTGCTGGGCGCAATGCCTGTGCCGGGGGGGGGGGGCGCCGCGGGCCGCCATGGGTAATCTCTCATATGCTGAGGTGGCCACACCATTAAGACTAGTGTGAATGTCCACCGGAAAAGTTTGTCCAAAGTCCACAAGTTTGGTGTCTACGGACTCGGCTCGTCACGCTGAGTAACATATGTCGCCCCAGCCTTCTGAGTCGCTCGCCTTCCGAAGGGCCGCCATGGGCGGTCTCTCATATCTGTGCCGGGGGACACGGTTAAATTCTGTGTTTTAATAATTTTCCAAAAAGTTTTCTCGAAAGTCCACAAATTTGGTTCTACGGACTGCGGTCGTCACGTGAGTAACATATGTCGCGCCAGGCTCTAAGTCGTCCTTCGGAGGGATCTGCGTTAAACGTCTCCGAGGCAGCTTGCTGCGACGAAAAATTTGTCAAAAGTCCACAAATTGGGTGTCTACGACTCGGCTCGTCACGCTGAGTAACATATGTCAGCCCAGCCTTCTGAGTCGCTCCTTTCGAAGGGCCCACACATGGTCATCTCTCAATATGCTGAGAGTGCCACACCTGCGGTCCCAAACTTTTTTCAGTGGGGGCAACACATCTAACTTTCCTTTCTGAATGGGGGCACTAAAGGTTAGCTCTATTCAGGACAATGATATGGGCCAGGGTGACAACCAGTAATTATTGTGGAGATTACAATGATACTTTATTGTAGACTGCCTCAGTTTGGCTTTGGCACCACGTCTGATTTGCAAAAAAAAAGTAATAAAAATCTTCAACATGTACTTTATTTGAAGTACAAGATACTCCATTTATTTTTATAGAAAATAACAAACAAACTGATGGTAAATGCCGGGGGGGGGCCGGCGGGACGGCTAGCTCTGCTTGCTGGGCGCAATGCCTGTGCCGGGGAGGGGGGCGCCGGCGGCACGCGGGCTGCTAGCTCTGCTTGCTCTGGGACGCAATGCCTGTGCGGGGGTGGGGGGCGCCGGGGGCCGGCGGGCTGCTAGCTCTGCTTGCTGGGCCGCAATGCCGTGCCCGGGGGGGGGGGGGGGGCGCCGGCGGGCCACGCAGCTACCTCTGACTTCTGTGGGGCAATGCTGTGCCGGGGGGAGGGGGCGCCGGCGGGCGCCATGGTCATACTCTCAATAGCTGAGGTGCCACACCATTCGACTAGTGTGAATGTCCACAACGGAAAAGTTTGTCCAAAGTCCACAAGTTTGGTGTCTACGGACTCTCGGCTTCGTCACGCTGAGTATAACATTTGTCAGCCCACATGCCGTTCTGAGTCCTCTCCTTCCGAAGGGCCGCCATGGCGGTCTCTCATATGCTGCCGGGGGACAACGGTTAAATTCTGTGTTTTATAATTTAATTCCAAAAATTATTTTCATTCGAAAGTCACACAATTTGGTGTCTACGGACTCGGCTTGTCACGCTGAGTAAACATATGTCAGCCCAGGCTTCTAAGTCGCTCCTTCGGAAGGGATGCCTCGTTAACGTCGTCCGAGGCCCGCTTGCTGCGACGAAAAATTTTGTCAAAAGTCCACAAATTGGGTGTCTACGGACTCGGCTCGTCAGCTAGAGTAACATATGTTCAGCCGTCCAGGCTTCTTAAAGTCGATCCCTTCAGGGAAGGGATGCCTCGTTCTAAGTGTCGAGCCGCTTGCATGCGACGAAAATTGTGTCAAAGGTCCACAAGTTGGGTGTACTACGGACTCGGCTCGTCACGAGGTTCTGAGTACTACTATGATCTCAGCCCACAGCCATTTCTGAGTCGCCTCACCCTTACCGAAGCGACGCCATGGGTCATCTACTCTCTATATGCTGAGGGTGCCACACACTTAAAGCACTGTGTGAATGCACAACGGAAAAGTTTTGTCCAAAGATCCACAAGTTTCTGCAGTGTCTACGGATCTCGGCTCGTTCACAGCTCTGAGTATACATATGAGCCTCCCAGACCGCTCTGAGCTCGGCTCCTTCCGAAGGGCCCGCCATGGGCCGACTGTCTCTCATATGCTGCCGGGGACGGAGCTTACGTTTAATAATTCCTGTGTTTTAATAATTCTCCAAAAAACTTTTCTCGAAAGGTCCACAAATTTTGGGTGTCTACGCCTGGACTCGCTCGCACGCTAGTAACATAAATGTCAGCCCCAGGTACTTCATAAGTCGCTCCTTGGAAGGGATGCCGTCGTTAATACGTCAGTCCGGCCCGCTATCGTGTGCTGACGAAAATTTTGTTAAAAGTCCACAATTGAGCGTATCACGGAATCTCGGCTCGTGCAAAACGCTGAGTAACATGATCTAGCCCCCAAGCTTCTTGAGTCGCTCCTCTAATCGACCCATGGGCACCATTGGGTCAATCTCTCATATGCATGGAGGTGCCACATCCTGTGGTCCCCAAACTTTTTTCAAGTGGGGAGCACACATCTATACTTTCCTTTCTGAGTATGGGGAGGCCAAGGTTAGTAACTATATACTAGGTAATATTGATATGGCTCCAGATACAACCAGTATTATTGGTGGAGATTGACAATGTAGTACATTTATTGTAAGCTCCTCGCTTTGGCTTTTGGCCAGCCACTGTTGATGTTGCATAAAAAATAGTATAAAAAGTCTTCACATGTGTATTATTTTGAAGTACACTCAACGATACTCATCATTTAATTTATATAGAAAATAACAAGCACTAATACTGATGTACATGACAGGGGAGGGGGGGGGGCGGGCGCTGCTCGCTTGCTGGGCGCAATGCCTGTGGCCGGGGAGGGGGCTGCCGCGGGATCCGCGGGCTGCTAGCTCTGCTTGCTGGGCGCAATTGCTGTGCCGGGGTGTGGGGGGGCGCGCGGGGCCGGCGGGCTGCTAAGCTCTGTTGCTGGGCGCAATGCCTGTGCCGGGGGGGGGGGGCGCCGGCGGGCCGCTCATGGGTCATCTCTCAATATGACTGAGGTGCCACACATAACGACAGTGTGAATGTCCATACCGAGAAAAGTTTGATCCAACCGTCCAATTTGGTGTCTACCGGACTCGACATCGCATCGTCTGAGTTACAGACCATTTAAGATCATGCCCAGCCTCTCGAGTAGTGCTCCCTTTACCAGCAATGGGACCCCCCCCCCCCCCCCCCACCACCCCTTCATCCCCTCCCCTCTCCCCCCCCCCTACGCCCCCACCCCCTCCCCCCTCCCTCTACACCCCCTCCCCACCCCTCCCCCCGTACCCCGCCCCCCCCGCCCCCCCCCCCACCCCTTCCCCCCGCCCCCACCCCCTCCCTCCACCCCCCCCCACTCCCCCCCGCCCTCCACCCCCCCCACCCCACCCCGCCTCCGCCCTCCCCCCCCCCCCCCCCCCCCCACCCCCCCCCTCAGCCCTCCACAACCCACCTCCACTCCACTCCCACCACCACCCCCCCCCCCCCCCCCCCCACCCCCCCCCCACCCCCCCTCACTCCCCACCAA